ATATGTCATGCTATACATCTGTTATGCAATGCTATATATCTGCTATGCTATGGTATATATCTGCTATGCTATGGTATATATCTGCTATGCTATGGTATATATCTTCTATGCTATGCTATTAGTCAATGACTTGCTATGCATCTGCTTGTCAGTTATGTCGGCATGGAGTCACAGCCTTAGCCTTGTAAAGGCCTAGTTGTGGTACTAGATACCTATTCTTCTATCCTTCTATATTAAACATGGATTTCTAAAATAAGTAACTGCACAATCAATGTCTGCTAGTCAGAAAAACATTCCCCTCTTAAGGAATTAATAAATAACATTCATTCACACAAGGCTGAAATATAAATATTGATTTCCCACCATGGAATATATATGTAGCCAAACAGTTTTTGCTTTTCCTGAATAACAAAATGAAACTGAGCACGGAAACTACAAGAATGAGGGAGCTAGTTAACCATGAAGAACAATTTCTGGTATTAGCAATAACGATTAATGTTGTCATGCAACAACGAACAGGGAAGAAATCAGTTAAGTTTTATTGACAGAGATGCGTGATTAGAATGACGAAATTATCAATAATGAATTGCACAAAATCTGACAACAACAGAGCAAGTCTTGATGACAACAGTGGAGAAAACAACGAGGAAATTCAAAGTTAATCCCAGGGCCATGTGTCCATGCATTCATTAGTGCAACAACAACATGGAGAATCTTTAATAACGGCCTGATGAAATCCCCAATAACTTTGTCATAAACCGGCCATAACTCTGGACATAAATATACCCTAATCTGAGCTGAACATACAAAATTGCAATTACAAAAAGCCTTCACATCCTGTCCGTATTTGGCGAGTCCAGAGCTTGGGTCAATAGTCACGCTCACAATACTGAGTGTGGCTGCTCGGCTGCTGTCAACATAAATAGCCATGATCAGGTGGGCAGGCATTCAGGCAGATTACAAAAATGGCGATCGATGTACTTACATGCACATTATGGACATTTCATGGGCAAATATAGGTTCAGGTCCGAAGGGGATTGGCAAAATATAATATTAGGTGTTGGCTTATTCAAAAACCCAAAAGAATTACACTCATATCAGAGAAGGAGCCAAAACATGACCATCACTGACTTGGTACAGTGGATTGCTGACAAATAGAATCACAAATTTAAGTTGTCCCTGGACTGTACACCAAATAGTCACTGCAAGCTAAAATCAAATCTCCCGACATCATATATGAATACATGTTTGTTTGTTTCTTGTTTAATGCTACAACCTTATTCCATCTATATGACAGCGGCCTGTATATAATTAAGTCTGGACCAGATTATCCAGTGATTGCTATCATAAACAACAATCTATGCTGTCGGGGTGCAATAAAACAGTCAAACGGTCACCAAGTCTGACCCCGTGGGGGGCACGGGTGGCCCAGTCGTCTAAGGCACCACGATTCGCTGTGCAGAGATGCGTCTCTTGGCACGCCAGAAACCTATGATTGTGGGTTCAAATCCCGGTTCACCTCAATTATGTTTCTAGGTTTGTCAGCACCATACCCGTGCTCGTGGGTTTCATCATGTGGCAAACGTCTGAGACCTACATCACTTCGGGCTTTCCTCCCACATTAAGCTGACACGCTGCGATATGACTGGAATACTGTTAAAAGCGGCATTAAACCCAACTCACTCACTCACTCTGACCTCCGTGTTCTTTGAGTAGTCCCTAACAAGAAACACTATGAGGTTGCTGGTACGTCAGTTCATATCTGGAGTCCCCACAGGGGTTGAATACAAGAAACCATTTTGTCTTCTGCTTGCATCACTGTAGTATTGGCTAGTATTTAGGGACAAGATTGGTGTCTTTGTTGACGAGACGTCTTGGTTATTGTATGTGCCATGGAGGGTTCCAGTACACATACACAACAGTTATGTCAGAATGGAGTCCTTCCAGTATAAATTGACACAATAGAAATGTCAGAATGGCGGCCTTCTTGTATAGATACACAACAGTTATGTCAGAATGGAGGTCTTCCAGTATATATTGACACAATAGAATTGTCAGAATGGCAGCCTTCTTGTGTAGATACACAATAGTTATGTCAGAATGGCGGCCTTCTTGTATAGATACTAAATAGTTATGTCAGAAAGACAACCTTCCACTACAGATACATAACAGTTATGTCAGAATGGAGGGTTCCAGTACACATACACAACAGTTATGTCAGAATGGAGGGTTCCAGTACACATACACAACAGTTATGTCAGAATGGAGGTCTTCCAGTATAAATTGTCACAATAGAAATGTCAGAATGGCGGTCTTCCAGTATATATACACAATGGTTATGTCAGAAACGCAACCTTCCACTACAGATACACGACAGTTGTCAGAAGGGCTAGCTTTAGAATGGAGGTCTTCCAGTATAAATACACAACATTTATGTCAGAAAGACATCCTTCCAGTACAGATACACAATAGTTATGTCAGAAAGACAACCTTCCAGTACAGATACACAATAGTTATGTCAGAAAGGCTGTGGCCAGAATAAATATTTTTAAAAACACAGAATCATAGCTCATCAGATCAACTGTATTGAAATCTGCTTTGAAGATGTTCTTTCATTTCCCATTACTACGTATTTTCACATCATTTGGCAAATAATCTTAATATGTACCTCACTACACAATTCTATTAAACTCTTGCAAGGTAAACTTTTATATCTGCCTCTGACAAATTGTACCACTATTAATGTTGAAACATCCCTGCTTCTTTATTATCAAAGCAAATTATCAATATGGAAAGGTAATCACTAGAAATGGATTCCGGAAGCTGTGATGGTATTATAGTAGCCAGGTGGTCTCTTAGATATAGAAGTCAAGATTCACACGTAACAACACATTATGACTACCGTGACGACCGGCTGAAAGGTCTTTCCAGATCAACAATTTGTAGGAAATTGAAAAATGCGCTGACGCAGATACCTTTTGTTATAGGGAGGAGGGTGGTCCTATATTTAGCTGGGCGAGGGTAGGCGCAACTATCTGGACAACTAATGCATTAAGATTACAAATGAGCAAGACTGTCATTAAAGTTATGAGCAAACTACTCAAAATTGTCTGACCTGAAAATGTGAGTGCTTTTCTTCCTCCATAGAAATAAAAGAAACGTATGATTTGATAAATTTGGAAAATTCATATTTCTACTACATAGCTTCATAAGCTCAAATGCTCACGTAACAACGGATGGGGAGGTTAAGCGACCCTTTTGGACCACTCAATATGAAAAAGTTGCAGGAAACTTTCATTATTGTTTAGAATGCTATCAGACATGTTCATATAACAGAAAACAAGCCTTTTCTTTCGTTTTGTCACATGCAAGTTTTGACATGATCACATACAGAAATTATCAGACATGTTTATATGACTGAAAACAAGCCTTTTCTCTTTTATTTTGACATTATCATGTACAGAATCATGGCACATTTTTTTAAGCATGGCAGAACTTCCCCCAAAAATCGAACTATCAGCAAGTCATCAAGTCTGTGACCCAAGCTGAATTTTTCGTCACATCTTTTTATTGAAGTCTGTGCCAAAATCTTTTGAGATGACAAGCCCGAACATGTCTCTCAGCATCATATTCATTCGATTTTAGTGTTATTATATGAACTATTATTAGCTGGCACACCAGACTCAACTGAACTTTTACTAGTGGCTAAACTCACAGACTGGTATTGTCCTTACCAACATGTAATAATCTGCTTGGGTTAAACACCAGTTTAGTGTTTGACACAGCCTCTAAATCGCCCACAACTAGTTTGAACATAGAAGGACTAATTGTTTTCTCCCAACATCTAGTTATTTTACATAAACCACTAGTCCGAAATGAGCTGTGGACTACTCAAATATGACAAATGGTGTGTACCCCTGTTGCTCGCATTTACAGAAAATTGCTTCCTGAACACTTCATAAGCCTTTTGGCACATAGGATAAACATGTGATACAAAGTATATAAAATGTTTTCCCTTCTTGGAAAACTTCAAAATCATAGGTAATTTCAGCGCGCGATTATGGTTTTACAGCGCTTTTTGCAATATTCGTGCAATATCACTGATGTTTTATGTTTTATTATTTACCTTCTGGAACATGAAGAACTGAATTAATAAGATACTTCTGAAATTCTCATAGATTGATTGAGTATGGTTTTACTTTTATGCCACTTTTAGCAAAATTCCAGCAATATAACGTCAGGGGACACCAGAAAATGGGCTTCACATATTGTACCAATGTTGGGAATCAAACCCGGGTCTTCGGGGTGACAAGCGAACACATTATCCACTAGGCTACCCCACCGCTCCATATGTACATTCAACATCATTCTACAACTCAGTAGATTAAAATAGAAACATGTGAAGGTCAAAGATTCAAATGGAAGATATATGGTATTTGTAAATACATGTACCAATAAACGACAAAATATTACCTGATTATGCATAGTAACATAGGTACTAGTTTGCAAGAATCTTAAAAGCCTAAAACCAATAATGTGAAAACCTGCTTGAGAAACGTCACCCCTTAACCTATATATTCTTGGAACAAGCAGGATTGATTGATTAGCATCGAGTCTCAAAGCCATAATTGTATTTTTCATGAACTTCATTAGGTGTTTGTGGGTAATAATAACTCTACAGCAGAGCAGGTTTCTTCTCTATGGCTATAGTGTATGGATTTCACCCATTTCCCCAATAACTATCTGTGTTTAGAAGCACATAAACAATTCTCATAGCCCGGATATATAATCAGAGATACCTGGCCAAAAAATAACACATTTCAACCTGCTCTTTTGTTAGACTTGCTTGATCTTTATTGTCAACGTGATTTAAATCAGGGTTTATTCCAATCACTATGGTTACAGGTGAAGCTGTAGTCCTCAACACTGTGACCGTCTGTCAATTGTCTTTTGCTGTCTATTATCGAGCCTACTGAATTAGTATCATGATTTTTTTTCAGATTCCTGGTAATATGGAGGGGTTCAATGCACGCAATGAAACTATAAAATTGCCACCAACTGAAGTAATGCCGCCGATTCTCCTCAGTCAAGAGCAGAACTACAAGGGAACGCAGATGTATATGATAACAGGTGAGACCAAAGGTCAAGGTCAACAAAACATCGTAAGAAACAACCAATCAATAATTAGCAGAGAGATTGGGTTCTCTAAACAAACTAGGCAGTGCTATGTGTATGATATTAATCAAATGATAGCTCTCCACCTTCTCAAGGTGCCTTTATTTTCACCATTGATCCTGAATCCTGATTTGGAAGAGACCTGTTCAGCGCTGACCTTTCATAGTTTTGGCTCAGATTAGATGTATTGAATATCAGCGGAGGCTACATGGCACATGGATGTATTCGTGGAATTACATGATTAAGGTTACAGTATTAAACCGGCCACATGGAAGCAAAAGCTTGATTAAGTCTAACCCTAATATACCATAGATCTATCAAGATCTCCCCATCTGTCCTTTGCCATACAATGCACATTCAGCAGAGGAGTGGACCACTTCATTCTGCGAGCTACCTTTCATATGACCTTCAAATCGAAGTACAATTGATAGTCATATTACTTTTTTCCAAATTCATAATCTCTAGCCAAGAAAAATGTCAATCCTTACTAACTGATCTTTAAAATTTAACCAAACCAAGTCCTTGAAAACACATTTTTCAGTTATTAACACCATAATGATATTCACCCTAATTCTGATAGCACTTCTGTGTTATTCCAGTCTACTTCACCAACACAAACCCCTACTTTCACAATATGCCTCCATCAAGGACGATCAATGAATAAATATCTTGAAGACGTCCTTGAAATTCATTCATTTTTCGGCAGCAACACCTTTCATCCACATGGCCACCTACCCATATCTTATTTCTTTACATTGTCACCTAAATGCGTTTGCCACCCGCCACATCCCCCACCCCATGCGGACCAACATCATCAACTGCAATCTAGTAGTTCATTTCCCAGCACACAGATCCATTAAGGGTCATGTGATCACCTCCCAACGTCCTGCTGACAAAAGATGAGAGGTAGTACAAAATGGCGGCTCAGGTGTTTCATAGCAGCCAATTTCAAATCTTCTCCACTCACAGATCAACTACGATCTTTCCGCACACCATTTGCTGTCCAACCCGTGGCTCACATTACTCGTACTTCCCAGGTAGAAGAAACATTAAAGCATTGTTTGAAATCTAATCTGGCTGAAACAACACAGTAAATTCCACTGAAAATGATACAAGGCCATTATAATCATGTGATCTTGTTTGTAACGTGAGGGTTTTTTCAACGATATTTTCAGAATTGAAGAGATTCTCAGATTTTATCACCTTTACTGCATCCTTGCATTGTTTAGGAGACTTATCACATTTGATATTTATGCATATTTAGAAGCCCTTCCAATATCATAAGATCATCACATTGAAAATAAATATTTATTCATTTACAAAAAAAATGACACAATTTGGATTATATATTTCATATCAATAAGCATTCTTATTTCTTCAAAATTGAAAAAAAAATTCAATTGTTTGTTAGTCTTTCGGTTCATTTTTTCATCAGGGGAGTTAACTGTTTATCAGGACCTCCAAGAAAGAGAAAGAAAATTGACATACATAGCTGTCTGCACTGAAAATCACAACCAAGTGATTACATTTCAAATATTTGAGAAAGTCCGACTCTAACTTCCTGTCAAAGAAAACAGACATAAAGTTCTTCATCCTCAGCACAGTTGAAACAATCACGCACAGATTGCTAACAACCGCCAACAAAGTCGGAGATGTATTACTCTGTAAGCAACATCCAGACCACCATTTTTGTGCAAGTTTGACAAATTGCCAAGGAAAATACGGTTGGATGTATTTCTGTTGCAAATCCCTCACCTATGGTAGGAGATGTCAGAAAAATGTTCACTTTTTACAAAAATTCAAAGAAGCCTGGGATTCTGTGTGAAAGAGTTCTACATGTCTTACAATCATACACTTGTGTTGCGTCACGGTGCGGTCCTGAGTATAAAGAGCCTATCTATGCAATCTGGTATCCGATTTCCTTCCTTACAGCTCAATTTGCAGTGACATTGTGAGCATTTTAAGAAAATTAGATTTTGAAAACTGAAAATTCGCAAAATTTGACCACGAATATACACATAATTATACTCTATTGATGTTTTTTCCAGACTACGTTTTCTTTACCGACTTGTTCATTAAGAAAACACCCACTTAGTATTTTTAGAGATTCATTACTTAATTCATACAGAACCACGCTAAAAACGTGTTTTGATAGACAAGTCATAATATGTATAATGTTGCAAGATACAGGCAGTGAACAGTTTTGTGTAGGACACGAACAATTTGTCAAGACAATACGTCAAGCAGGCGTTTAGATAGCAATGTATCCAAAACAAAACTACACAGGACTGACAAAAATCCACAAATATTGCAATCTGTGTCAGCTTCTTACTGCTGGTCTATGTCTTTTCCGTCTACAATAATAAACCTGTTCTACATCTCAACCAGTTTGAGAATGACGGGTTCCATTTTTAACCCATGATCCACCTTAATCAGTTCCAAGAGATTATTTCTTTTCAACTGAAAAGGGAAAAAAGCTGGTTATCTATTTACATTAAAAAGTACCTGAATAATTCATTTCATTTCATCAAATAATTCATATTTTTTTCTTGAATATTCAACAGAATGTGATGATTGTAACAAATCGATTGAAAAATAAAAATAGCACAATATCATATTAAATATAATTATTTTAACGTAAATGTACTGTTAAAATGATGGAAATATTAAACAAAATGCACATGTGTTTCATAGTGGTCAGAATGTGTAGTGGTCCCTACAGGCTGGGTGAAACAGTATCCGTCCCAACTATGGCGATAAAATGACTAAACTAACAAGATAGGACACAGAGAAAGAAGGAATTATTTGGAGATGTGCTTCTAAGTGCAGCCACTTTCTAAACTAAACTTTACGGCATTAGCGTGGGAGAAGCAGGTAAAGAGGCCCTTGTGGAAATATTCCGCCCTGGTGTTGGCTAATTTGACAAACTAGAAAGTATTATTCCAATAAACAAAACGTGAAGCCTTCCAGAATTGACATTTTCAGGCTTTTTGTAAGACCTTCTCCCTTACTTGAGATTTTAATGCATCTTCCTTTTCTTAACTTGCACAAAAAATAATGTCCCGGACATGTTTGAATAAATATCTTCATTAATCTATATGACCACTACACTTGAAAAGAAAATCCAAAAAATGTTACTTTGATTTGATTTTTTTTTTAAACACCTTTTTTCAACATTTTCTGTTGGGCCTTGGAGTAATGGATGAACATTTGTTTTCGAGTTCATGCTGACAGTCTTGCCGTAATTATTTCAACCTGAACAATCTAAACATGGCCGTTTTCACTTGAACTCATAAGCATATCAATCTAAAAAAATAAGATGTCAGAAAATCTGATTTATACTCATTAGTTTACGACTGAAATGATCCTCAACATTATCACCACATTTTGAAGGCAAATGGGTTAATACGCCTCAGTTTAAGAGTTAAGGTGCTATGATGTCCAATCTTTCAGTGGATTGCTCAAGTAAAAGGCGTAGGGAAGAGTGTGACTTTGATGATACTGCCGAATGGCTGTCGAGAGAGACAACAATCTTTGCTTTTCCTCTAAACTCGGCCTCAGGTGAATTACGAATTATCAACACGTTGTGAGACACCATCAACATCCAGTGGCACTCATTGCCATCATCACAGATGTTCGAAACACCCGCTGATATTAAGACATTCTGAGGAAAAATTCTCACTCTGTTGCCCCACAGACTTCCTTTGAGAGATAGATATGAGATTTTTTTGCAATCTTTCAAGTTATTTCATTGATTATTCAAACCAAACAGAATCTTGTATTGTTATGATGAAAGAAATATTGCAAGTTTTGGCAATATCACAGCATTTAGGCAAGACTTGTTGATACAATGGCTTTGAGTTCTCAGATCTTAACTCAAAATCAATATCAGTTTTACTCTTAGAGAGACCATTGAGAATTTGTAGCTATCATTAAGTTCATTAACTTTCAGATATTGCTCAAAAACTACAATAATTTTCTTATCGCTTATGAGTCATAAAAAGACACCACAAAAAATGAATCTGATTATGGCATGTTCTGGAAATGTTTGAAATGAATTTTCAAGACAAACTCTCAATTGTTTTCAATCAGAATCAAGGAAAACAATTTTTCTGTGTAATGCTTTTTGAAACCTCGTTGCAATTCTGTTGAATATCTGATTCAAATTCAGCTAAATCTGTCAAAACCCACACAACAAGTTGCAGTATGCTTTAGGATGTAATCTTTTGTTGATGGGAGATGCACAGTACCAAATCCTAAATTCAAATATGAACATGCACACACATGCACACACATGCACACACATATTTCAAATTCATCAAAAACCTTGTCAATCAAACCTTGATATAAAAAAATCCACTTTCCTCACTACAGATGTGAATCTGTCGCCCATGTGCCTGCAACTTTATCTTTCAATATGTCATACACACGAGCTATTTACCTTTGAAATACCATGACAACAATTCACACAAACAAGTTCTGTGGTTTATACATTCATGTTTGTGTGTTGCAGCGTACTTCAAGCACCCCAGCCTGATCTGCAGCCCTTACGCCTACAACGCCCACCCAGGCAAGGGGCTGTACATCCAGATGGGCTACAACGTGGAGCACGAGTACGAGAGGATACCCCTAGAGGCACATCATCTTTCCTACGAGTGGAAGCGGGGAAACTGCATCCCTAAGATGGGTATGGATTCATTTCTAATTCCATTCCAATCATATTCATATTGATAAAAGAAATTCCATAAAGAAAAAATGAAGTTCCCATGCAAAACAGACTCTCATGCATCTATCTTATTTTCTTGCAAACCTTTTTGAATAATTAAGTCCTTCCTGATTTTGAGAGATATAGAAATATTCTATTTCGTATGAACATGTTTTTTCCAATATAATGTTCTTAGATGTATCTGTAAGATGGGTAGAGATTCATATTACATTCACATCACATTCAGCATATTGATGAAGAAATGCCAAAAACAGCAGATGTAGAGATCTCTAAAAGAATCTGTCTTATTTTCTTGCAAAATTAAGATTAGAATTAAATTGTTTATTAACTGAGAGATATACATGTATTTCATTTCACACAAAAACTACATCCTCCCAATATTTCACGTTGCTCTATGGCTTAAACATTGTGCTGAAGGCAAGGGAGGCAAGATACTATTACTAGCAAAACTAATCATGGATAGTTGATGGTGAAGGGGACTTCTGTTGAAAACTGAAGATTGTTTTAGTTACTATTTGAATTAGGCATTGATGTAAAAGAGGTAGAGTATTTGCATGTTTATGCATATAGTCCCTCTCACATAAAAGCTTTACCAATGTCACCTTATATCTTAACTCTCTATCAAATGATCCACGTCACTATATGGCTGAAACAATGCTGACTGTAACATATTTCATTTTAATTATATTAATCCACAATTTATATACAACCCTAAATCCTTATTCAGATTAAATCACAAACTAACTTTTGTAGATACTGAGATCCATGATGTAACATGTGCATGGAACACAAAAAATTCTAAAATGTCATCTGCTTCAAGTGTTGGTATTTTATGCCCATTCACACATGACACTGACCTGACATTACATCTTAACTCTTCTACAATGCTCCCCTTATTTGGACAGGTTTACACTACTTCAAGAATCTGTCCAAGAACATGCCCTGCGAGCGCCTGTATCCGGTGTTCCTGATGTACAACACCGAGGGTCAACTCGGAGCGTTTGGCTGGATATTCCAGGGGGAGCCCATCAGTCAACTGTACACAGACGAATTCCGCTGGTTCAAACTGACTCCAACTGTATACCCGGTAAACAGATTCATCATTTATTACGCATTCAGTGATGAAATACCATATTTATTTGAAAACATAAACAATATATACTGAACAAAAAAAGGTAAGGATCATGAACATTTTTGAGGTTATTTTTACGAAATTATGGGCTTAGTCTTCACTTCAAAAAAATATCTGCCAAAACATTCATGATCCCTAGCGTTTTGTTCAGTATATAACACTCCAGCAAAGGAAAATAACTGAAATAATACTGTCTGCCGGAACTACTTTCATTCTGCCGCTGTGACACTATGAGTTTCAAAGTAGAATCATAAAGATCAGTCAAAAAATATGTAACAAAAAGAACATTTGTCTTTCGTTTTCAAAATAACAATTTCATCTCATCTTACGACCAGACAAAAGTGACAAATACATTTGCTGCTGCACCACTCCTGAAACTATCATCTGATAATCGCTGGAGCAAACGTAATTCTTGCATTGTAACCATGGTAACAAACTTCTACCACATCGTTTCATTTTTAATTGCCTTGGCGATTCAAACTCTGAAAACTGTAACCTGAGTATTAATTATTTTGTGCAAATAGTGACATACAGCGATAGCTGGTATTCTTGAAGTCCTGCTGACCATAAAAAAATGTCGGAACTATCTTTTATCTTTGAGTGAATGCTACTGTAACACCATATATGGATACATGATCTGCAGAGATCGTAAAGTCTTTATAATGGGAGATCAAGCTGATCCCTGTATAAAAAGACTTTTGTCAGTACATGAGTGTCCTACTAATAATATATAAATAAATTGAAAATAGAAAAAAACATATTTGAACGGAGATATCTGTGTCGCTAGGTTTATAAATATATAATATAAAAAATACTGACTTTACAAAATAAGCCTAAAAAATATATATGCATGAATCTAACAGAAGCTCTAATAGAAATGGGGGCGGTCGGGTAGTCTAGTGGTTAAAGCATTCGCTCGTCACGCCGAAGACCCGGGTTCGATTCCCGACATGGGTACAATGTGTGAAGCCCATATCTGGTGTCCCCCGCCGGGATATTGCTGGAATATTGTAAACGCGGCGTAAAACCGTACTCACTCACACACTTTAATAGTAATGTAACGCTCTTTTTATACGTTTTAGGAGTAACTAAACGGAGACATTTTTTTCTTGATAGATATTAAGTAGGGTAAAAAGGCCAGCTTGAGGTCTGAGAGTAGTGATCGACTGTGATTTCACTGCCTGATGATGTGTGCTTATAGTTTACATCAGAATGGAGAGTGAGTGAGTGAGTGAGTGAGTGAGTGAGTGAGTGAGTGAGTGAGTTTTGGTTTAATGCCACTTTGAAAAGTATACTATCATGGCAGCTTGCTATGGAAGCAAAGCCTGAAGTGATGCATATGTTTACCACCGTTGTTAAACCCACAAGCATGGATATGGTGTTGACAAACATACACACATTATCATTGCAAATTGGGATTCAAACCCATGAACACAGGTTTCTGGCACACATAAGGGGGGCAACTCTGAACAGGGAGCCTGAGAGATATTGTACGAAGAGTGAAATAGCAGTTATTATGGATTTTTATTGAATTGCTTAACTGGAACATGTGGTGGATAAATGATCTTATTAATCACCTTTTCTACTCTTTCAGTTTACGTTCGACACAAACATGCTTCCATCCTGTATGTACAACAGCGAGTTCAGCGTGTTTGGAATCCATATATGGCTCCGTAACGAGGACAAAATGCTCTGCCCACTACCTACTGTCATGCCCCAGACGAAACGCCCACCAACGACCTACAAGCCCAAGAAAATCAGACCAACAGAGAACAATATTATTGTTGACAAAATTATTCGTGATCGAGAAGAACAATCTAGAAATGCTGCAAGCAGTGTAACAGCTGACAGTTTAAATTTTAAAATCACACTATGTTTAAGTGCTCTGTACATGCTGTGTGTAAGGAACTTCTTTTCAATTCCATCACCAACAGCGTATGATTCATAGGATTATGTGACTGAAATACATCATTTGTTTGAGAAGTTAACATTGTGATATAACGTGTCGGTTGGATCTTGTAACTGCCTTAACACTACTGTCTTCTACCCTGCATAGAAGATCCACAGGATTTGTATAGGATCATTCTGCATTCCTACAGGATGCACACACTAGACCTCCAGGATGACCATGAGGTCCTCCTACTGGGTGCACTAGACATCCACACAAGGTGGTGACAGGACCGTCCAGGGTCTATTCAAGGAATCTTTAGGATCTACTATGGATCTCTTCACAAGATTTGCGTCTTTTGATAGATCCATACAAGGTCTTTAAGCATCTATTCACAGGATTTGGGGTCTTTTGACAGGATCCATACAAGTTCTATTCATAGGATTTGGGATCTTTCGACAGATCTACACACGGTCTATTCACAGGATCTACACGTGGTAGGTTCACAGGATTTGGGATCTTTCGACAAGATCTACACAAGGTCTATTCACAGGATCTACACATGGTAGGTTCACAGGATTTGGGATCTTTCGACAAGATCTACACAAGGTCTATTCACAGGATCTACACAAGATCTAATCACAGGATTGGGGATCTTTCGACAGATCTAAACAAAATCTATTCACAGGATTGGGGATCTTTCGACAGGATCAACACAAGGTTTATTCACAGGATTTTGGATCTTTTGACAGTCATACAAGGTCTATACAGGGTCTACTTCAGGATGCTTATCGATCCTCTGAAGGTACATACATAATGTCTACAGTGTAATTCTCTGGACACTGACAACAGCTGTGTTATGTCAAAGCAGGATCACTGACAGCTGTCCATGAGGAGGTGGACAAGGTAGACAGAGTCCAGACCACATCTTGAGTATTCATACACCATGTATCCAAAAGAAACTAGGACATCAAACAGAACCACAAATGACCATACAAATTCAAGATTAAGGAGTTAATAATTCAACAACGCCAGGGTCACAATAAAGAGCATGTTTACATTAACCATTTTCGGTCTTGTATACACAACTGAATATGAGGCAATTGTTTCAACCGAAAAGGTCAACTCAATCCACTTGTCACAAATGACAGTGAACATCGTCACTTCCTACTGTCTGTGTCATTCACTGATAATCTGTCGCAGAATGACTCTCTATTTTTCGTGGTGTGTCACAATATACATATCCAACATAAGAGATGCAAGTCCTTGTCAGTGAGGAATTCACACAAAGAAAAACAGTGCCCTTGATTTTATTCTACAAAAACACAAAATCAAATATCTGGTGTTGTACGAGCAGACTTGGACCAAGTGAGCCATTTCTTCCAATGACTTTATGAGAAGCTTGGAGGACAATGTAAAGAGTTGAAAATGCATCACCTACTTGTCATTAAGCCTTAGTCCTGTATTTGTTATTCATTTATTTCCACTATATTGAAAGAGAGCTTTGCTAAGTCATTCTGTGTGCCTGCAGTACCATTCGTTTCCTTTCTGTTTTATTAACGGTAATAATAAGTCAGTGAACGAACAAATTGTTGTTGTACGTAAAGCGTTGTATCTGTTCAACCAAAATAAATAAACAACTCTGTATGCATGCAGTTTATTATGTTTCGACAGTCATAGTGCATTTTTTATGAGACAAAGTAAACAGTGACCAGGGCCCTGTTCCAGTGATCTTAGCGCTTAGGTGATCGTAACCCCATACTTTAACATAGGTTACGATAGTCATTGTGCTAAGATCGCTTTGTGGAACCATTCACAAAGTGATCTTAGCGCTTAGATGATCGTAACTCCCATACTTTAACATAGGTTACGATAGTCATTGTGCTAAGATCGCTTTGTGGAACCATTCTAAAGGGGTCTTAATGCTTAGGTGATCATAACTCCCATACTTTAACATAGGTTACGATAGTCATTGTGCTAAGATCGCTTTGTGGACAATTTCACAAATTGATCTTAGCACTACAACTATTGTAAGCCTATGTTAAGGAATGGGAGTTACAATCTTCTTATCGCTAAAATCGATTTGTGAAACCTGGCCCTGTATACTAATTTCACAAAACACCCATGTTATTTTCTTATTTAGAGATCTTAAGTGTGGATAGCATCAGAGTCCTAATGGTTTATATTGAAACACTTTTTTTTATAAATTCCACCGATGAAATGTTTTTAGGTCTCCTATGCAGGGTATGGCCTCAATGCAAGCTTTAAAAGCCGACCAAATGACGAACATGTGCACTGTTGTTGTTTGTTCCCTTGTACATACACTTGAAGTTCACTGGTGCATACGACTGTACATAACATATCAGCCATAATGAGACTGGAACCAGTCTCCCAACTTAGCGTGTCGTAAAAAACTCAACATGTCCCATAGAAATCGTGTTGATTCTGACAGATTTTGTGATAGAACTTAGCAGTATCTAACAAGTTTGTATTCTCAATGTATGATGAAATCACTGTTCTGTAACATATGAATGCATACATGCACATATATGTGTAACTAGAATTCACATGTTTAAGTCAATGCTTTGTTAAGTACTTAATTCTGCTGGCAGATATATGCCAGCTGGTCATTTCACATTTTTAAAATATTTTTTAATTATTGCATGAAATACAAATTAGGCCTTGTATTTGTTTTTAGTTGGTTTGCGAGATCAACTGTCACAAAAAAAACAGAAATTAGAAAGAAGAAAAAAATAACTTTTGACAAAATGTTTTTCATCTGACGATTTTACAATTAGGTTAAATAAATTTTTAAAAACCATGAAAAAAAACCATGACCTATTACCCCCACTGTTCATTAGAAACAGTGAATAATATGCATTAAAATGCTTACTTAAACAAAAAAAAACAATCAATTATATGGTATCCTTTTGCAATCACACTTCTGTCGTGGTATGACCTTTGAGTTTGTTTTTCATTCATTAGTAGCAGTACAAATAATGGAAGTTGAATTTGAAAAAATTTCGACCACCTACATTTAGCAAACCAACTAATAAAAAGTAAAAGGCCTATATTTATTGTGGTTTTGTTACTCAAAGGTCCTAAGCTATCAACAGAAAGTGTATATGATAAAACTTGTCTGTTTTCTTGTGTGGGGCTGTGCTGCAAGGTACTATGGTGGATCATGTTTTGGTTTATGAAATCAAATTTCTTTTGCAATTTCAACAGTTTCCTGTTTCCAGCCTCTGATCTAAACATAGTCATCACATGGTATATATATATATATATATATATATATATATATATATATATATATATATATATACACTAGCGGCAGTTGCTAATGTTTGCCTGACAACTTATTAACGTTTCTGAAGTGTGACAGTAGACGCTCCCTACTGGCTTATTACTTGCAATGTGTAAATTATTGTGAATAAAGTCAATGTTTGAAGTTGTTTCATGAATAAACAAACAGATAATCCTAGTCTTTTTTAAGATCATCTTTTCTGTGATGTCAGTGACGGAAAACAGAAAAATCAGCTTTGATTTGCATCTATGGAGTTGTCCATATTTACTTATAGAATTACCTCATGAAACATTCATATTTTCAATCATTGGTCGCAAATAACTCCTAAATAGTACAAGTTTATACACGCTACTGCTTCCCATACAACTTATTGACATCTAGCTACAGTGGCCATAGAGTTCTATGATGAAGACCACCACAGTCAACTGAAGCTCAAAGTAAATATTTCAAATTCTAACTTTTCACAGCTGAACAAACTCAAGAATAAGGACAATCTGTACCATGCTGCAAACAATAAATACATCAGGGATTTATCTGGAATTTCAAACAAAGAGACCTTTTCAAGGAAAATTGAAAAAAACATAATTTTGGTAAAAATTGAGATTTATGTAAAGTTCCTATTTTCAATAAGTCAGAGATCTTTAACATTGTATATTAACATTACATTCAAAAATGTAAAACAAGACATTAAAACCTCTTTATTGGTTCTTACATCAGTGAAAAACAAGTCAAACAAGCCATCACTTTAGATACAAATATATTTACATGAATTGGGAACATTTAAATTCCAATTTTGGAATTTTTAATAACATTTGCAGCAGAATAAGGGCCGCATATCAGCCTCTGAGCAGGTGTAGATAACTCCATGTACATTCTCATAAACTTATGACAATCGGTTTTACAAATTTGAAATGTTGAATTAAATACTTCTAGAGCTATTCCAGACAATCTGAACACTGAACAATTCAACAGGAAGCAGTATATCTTGGCCAACTGATTCATTCCTAATGTTTATAGAAATAATTTAACATTTTCTCAATAAATATTTCCAACTATTCTCTCCAATAAGTAACAGCTGACTTTTCAACCATATTTTATGACAGAAATCTGTTTCCATAGTAACATATACACTTAAAGGTTAAACATGAACATATTAAAGGTAGTTCTTCTTTGTCTCAGATTTCAGTGAATGGCTGTCGTTAAATCTCATGGACATTTCTGTTTCATCATGTCAGAAATCGAAAGGTGTATTGTGACAAAATGGGAAGAATATCCTCATGCAATAATCCCTAGAAGATCACATTGAATGATAAATTCGATACATTTAAAACAGATGAAAAGTCATTGCATGACTCATAATAATTTATGAAGAAACTAATTATATCCACACTCTGGTATATAAAACCTTGAATGGGTTCTGTGAAATCATCAGACTTGAACTGATATCCTTTTTGTCATTATAAGACATTTACAAGATAAAACAGATCCATGTGAAAGTGTCTTTGTCAAGATCACGACCATAAAGCTGTGTTATTTCCATGATTCTACAGGATTTCTCAGGCTAAAAGTAACCTGATAGGTTGAGCATGGCTATGCTGAAACAGTAACCCTCTGTTTATGGGTCATTAGGAGACAAACAAGTGTTATCTTGCCGATCAAAGAATTAATTATGAATAAATGCCAAGAGGTCGTGTCTGCATTGGGATCAGATGGGATCTTTAAGTGAATAGCAAAGCACAGATTCATCATATTTCACAGAATTGATAATTAACGGACACATTTTGTGATACATCCGTTGACTTATATGGCCAACGCAGGGTTCGAAATTAACATAAGCCGCTTGTCCAAGACTAGTCAAATTCAGGAAGTGACATATCCTTGGGGATTACTATTTTGACCATTCGGTACATGGCATCTCTGTAGCTGTTTGTTTTTGTGGACTTGTGACAATACAAATCAATTTCTAACCCCGTAACATGAAATGAAATATCAGGTTAATTTAGATAGTTCTGAAATATGAAATTAGAACAGAAAAGGTAAAATCATGTATAAATATTTTATACTTTAAGAAGTGTTTCTTAACTATAAGATACAATATCAGTTGTGAGACGGCACAGTTTGATTTGTAAAGTGTCAATAGTACAATGAAACCTTATTAATCCAGAAACTCTGTAATCTGGACAATAAGTCGGGACTGTCCATATATCATAAGTTTTATATTAACAGGGTTGTTAACAAGGATAACAAGCCGAAAAAGGTTTTACTGTATCTACCCGTGTCCCTGTCTCTGTAAATAGCTGTTGGTTGTTTATTTGATGCCATCTTTATTCACTGATACAGCTGTTTAAATCATTACCTCTCATTACTGCATATACACCCTTGCTTTTTTGCAAGTCTTAAGTGCTACATGTATATGGAATGTGTGAATACTGTATATGAATGAAAGAAGCAAGAACTGGTTAGATTGATTCAGAGTTTTTCTCCGAAGTTACCCCAAAAATTGATGAAGGGTTTTGCTCCTAAGTTTCTCCTAAGATTGATCAAGGGGTTTCTCCTAAGATTGATCACGGGGTTTCTCCTAAGATTGATCAAGGGGTTTCTCCTAAGATTGATCAAGGGGTTTCTCCTAAGATTGATCAAGGGGTTTCTCCTAAGATTGATCAAGGGGTTTCTCCTAAGAATGATCAAGGGGTTTCTCCCAAGATTGATCAAGGGGATTCCTCATTAATTAAGACTCGTTCTGGCTTTCTAATACAAATTTATATAATTTTATTTTCAAAAATTACTATTGGAGTTAATACTTTTTTCTGTACAAAGATAACTTTTAAACAATAGGCA